GATTGTGTCCCCTGTCCCCCTAAAATACTTTGTGCCCTTTTCCCACTTGGTTCAGTAAATGGTGCTTACTGAACCAAGTACCACACAGGTGGACCACTCAGATGTGGAAGTGTGCAGGCAATTTACCTCCCCGGCTGGGAGCCTGCTGTAGGCAAATTGCCGACCGCTGGGTGGCCGCAGTTCGTGCAAACGAACACGTGGCGGCGGCCATTTTGATTCATTCGAATGCAGTCAGCGGTGTGTGCCGTCAAACTCATGGAACTAAAATCGGCTACAGAAAGGCATGAACACCGCTGAAGTTTTACCTTCCCTGGAACTAATGCATTTGACAGTTCATTCGACAATTCGAATGGTTGTCGTTCATCTGTTCGAACTGACTTTAACATGGGAAATAGTATGACCGCACAGCCAAATCTATGGAACTGTTTTGGGCATGAAAATGTGCTTGCGGTCGGTCATTAAAGGACTTCCAGCTAACTTTTTAACCCCTGGATGGAATTGGCTGAATTTTGTTTATAATTAAAGAGTGCTGAATAATAATGTGTCATTTTTATGAAGATTGAATGTATATTTTTAAAGTTATAGTACAACTTATATGTAAAAAAATTATTTCTCTGCCTGTGATAATTACATTAACCCATTGTATAAGGTAAGTGTATCACAGGCAGAGGGGAGGATTTTGTGTGGGAGTGTCTGAGTGTATTGTACGTATTGATTGGTTGTACTTCAAAACCCTGTGGGCGGTACTATGGTTGTAGAATGGGCATAAAAGCAGAGTGTTTGAATAAAAATTCAGTTCTACTTCACCCTCACTCTGTCTCTTATTGGGGGAATCTTCTACAAGGGATTGCTATGCTTGTCATACTCCCTTGCTAAATCACTACTAAGCACTTGTTAGAGCTTGTTCCTGTCTTGCTCTCTGAAGGAGTCTACGGTGGTTATGGTGTCGGCTGGAGTGCTTGGAGCCCTCAGGCAGCGCTAGGAGCATCCTTCAACGGAGGTACCCAGTCGGGGTGCCAGGTGATCCGTTACAACATCCATGCTTGGTCCCTTTTTGACAGTGTCCTGAAAGGGAAGGGGCATAGTCATTATCATATAAAGCCATGGTGAATAGCATTTTCACAACTATGGTGTCAGGAAAACATGTTTGTATTCCTGACACTATAGTGTTCCTTTAATCAAATTAAAGGAACATTCTGGTCACCATAACAACTTCATCTAAATGAAAATGCTATGATGCCAGAAAGCCCCTGGGTGCTCTCTTTCCTTTAAGGGGTTAAACCACTCTCAAATGGTTTAACCCCAAAGGCTTCCTCCATCTCCAGGTCGCTCAGTGGTATTTGGCTTCTGAGACGGAGTGTCAGGAAGTGCAGATTGACGTCAGGCATGGGTGCTGCAGATTGGCTAGAGTGGTCATTTGACGCTCTAAGCCAATCGCTACTTCCTGGTTCATAAACATTTTTTATTTTTTTATGAATGGGGAGCTACTGATTGGCTTAGAGTGCCAGCTGACTGCTCTAGCCAATCAGCAACACCCCTACCCAGCAGCACTTTGTGCTTCTTGACACTCAGTAAATAAAAGTGAACACATTAACACTGATATTTTTTTTTAACCTGGGGAGATGAGAAGGTCCAAAGTTTCCCTGCCAGGCCCAGGTACCAAAGCCTTATGATGTCCAGAATAAAGTGTAGGGTTCACTTCACTTGTCTCTCCTTTTCTTCTCCTTCATTTGACACAGTCTTCTTCTTTTTTCTGACACTGACTTCTCTCCTCATTGGCTCCTTTACCTTTCTGCTAATTTATGCTTATTTTGCGCCCTTCTGCTCCTTTCTCTTTCTGATCCCTTTCTGCTCTTTGCTGACTCTTTCTGCTCCTTCTCCTACTTTACCTTTGTGCTCCTTCTGATTATTTCTGCTCCTTTACCTTTGTGCTCCTTCTGTCCCTTTCTGCTCTTTGCAGACCCTTCCTACTCCTTGATGTTCCTTCCTGCTCATTTCTGTTTCTTCTCCTACTTTACCTTTGTGCTCCTTCTGTCCTTTTTAGCTTCTTGGTGACCCTTTCTGCTCCTTTTACTTTGCCTTTGTGCTGCTTTACCTTCCTGCTCCTTGCTGCCCCTTCTTGCTCCTTGCTGACCCTTTGTGCTCCTTGCAGACCCTTCCTGCTCCTTGCTGCCCCTTCCTGCTCATTTCTGTTCCTTTGTGCTCCTTCTACTTTACCTTTTGTTCTTCTTGCTGTCCCTTCCAGCTCCTTGCTGCCCCTTTCTGCTCATTGATGTCTCTTCCTGCTCATTTCTGTTCCTTCTCCTTTCTGCTCCTTCTCTTACTTTACCTTCCTGTAGTCTCCCCCACCCCTCACTTAGCTGATCTATAGGCTGACTTCCCCATCCCTCACTTACCTGATCTGTAGGTGGATCCCCCCATCTCTAACTTACCTGATCTGTAGGTGGACCCCCCCCCTTCTCCCCTCCCCCCCGCGGATGCCCATGGTTAAAACTTACCTTATTTCCAGCGCTACGGCCAGCACTTGCTGGGTCGGCCAGCACTTGCCCCACCTCGATCCACCTCCTTGGTAAAATCACAAAATTGCTGATTTTTAGCCAATCCAATTCTTTTCCATAATGAGGTGGGATAGAAGCGGGGCCAAACACTGTTTTGACCAATCAGCGCCTCCTCATAGAGATGCATTTAATCAATGCATCTTTATGAAGAGCGTGGAGACGCTAAGCGGCAATTCTGCCTATTGTGCAGCACTGCCCCAGGAAGCACTTCCAGTGGCCACTGGAGGTGTCACTAGGAGGCAGTTTAAACACTGCCTTTTCTCTATAAAGGCAGTGTTTGCATGAAAATGCCTGCAGGTAATAATTATACTCACCAGAACAACTTCAGTAAGCTGTAGTTCTGGTGACTATAGTGCCCCTTCCCAGCATCCACTTTCCAGGGAATTATTCAAACTATTATACATAGCCTATTTAACCCAACCTCTCCAATTTAAAATTGGGGTCTCCCATTTGAATTCCTGTCCTAAAGTAATACTGTTTAATCTAATTCATTTTTTTATTTAAAGCTCCGTCTATGGTAAAGACCATATTACCAGGTGTTTTGTAAGAAGGTGCATGACTTAAAGATTCAAATTCCAGATGCGTCACAATGGCCAATATTTGGTATACTTGAAAACACAGGATCACAGAGGCCCATGATAGGCTCAAAAGTATTGTTACATTCCCTAAGCAGCAGGGAGCAAAGAAACCATTATTTCCCAGTGGGTATCTTCTTCCATCCCTTTTTTACTTAAGTTTTTTTTAAATTTATCTCTCTATTCTATTTAGACTGACGAGAGACCTTTGTTCACAAGGATAACCTCACCGAAACACTTTTTAAGAAATTGGGCCCTCTAGCATAGTGTCTCTCTTACCTAATGGAGTTAAGAATAATTTAATACTACCAACAGCTCAAGTTGGTAGATTTGTAGATTTGTTGATACCAATTTGTTCCTGAGGGACAAATTGGTCATTGTAAACAATGTCCTATGAAAGGCCTCCAATGGTCTGTGTCAGTCCCAATACTTGTAAGAACTCATTAGTTTCAGAGACACATGAGATACTGAGACGTTTACCCTTTTTCTCAATGAGTAAGTGTATTTGGGAACTCGTATCAGTAAGTAGTAGAGCAGTCTTTCAGTATATTTGTCGGTGAACTTAGGGAGCGCGCCTATGGTACCTTAGACCAATAGAAAGACAGCTGGGATCCCTTAAAAGAGAATAATTGTTGGCTATTTGTCACTTTAAAGATGGCTTTCTTCTTTAAAATAGTGTGGAACATTAGCTAAACATCCCTGTGTGGGTCTACCAGTGCTCTAGAGGACTTTTTTTTATCCTAAAACGTCCATACAGTTAAATCAATTGATCCTGTTTAGGAAACAGTATAGAAGAAATGGCAACCCTCTCCATGTTGGAAACCTTCATAGTGAGTTCACACACTACAGGTTTTTGTAGATGACTGTTAGACAATTCTGTGTCTGCCAGTCTAGCTCACCACCCACATCCTACTCCCAATAAGGCAGAGCATTCACTCCTTCTATCACCACTAACAGCTTCTATTGAAATATAGAGTGGGATTCACACAGCAATGCAGTCCAGTGGAAAGATCATCAATGTCTGTCTGCAGGAATGGCCAAATAGTGTTTTGGGCAGAGAAAACATATGCCAGGATATATTAAGGATATAGCCATTAAAAAGATGTAGAATAAGAGGCAGGTGTGTCTGCCTTCTTCCAGGCCTCAGGCTGCTGCCTGTCTAAGCTTGAATCTGATATCACAGGAGCATCTGCCAACTACATCTATGATACGCATCAAGCCTTGGCCTATATGTACTGACATCATGTTGTCACATTAGTCAATACTCCTTTTACTAATAGTAATAACTAACTTGCCCATGCAGCCATTAATTAATGTTGCACTATGTGGCTAAGTGTATTATTTACAATTAAATGACTGCTAAAGGTTCATTAATAAATTAGAGGAGAACCCAGGTATACCTCTCCTTTGCCACAGTTGGGGTTATGGAGGCTGGCCACACAGCCCTCAATGCAAGACATATATGTATTATTTACTGCCATGACAAATATGTAGTATACTGCTATGATATATGAAAATAAATTGCTGAATAACTTTTAATATGTGGAAGTACTAGGTATAAATGCCATGCCCTATAAATTGACTACAGCTAATATGTGTATTTTTGTAGAATTGTTCAGTTTTTTTTGTAAACAATTAGTGTAGCTGGAAATGTTATGAACGCATGACACTGAGGCTCACAATATGCTTAACACCTTCTTTATTTCCTTAGCAGCAAAGAGAGAAATAGAAAAATTAGATATTTCAAAAAATTACATCACAGAACAAAAATCGTAACCTAGGTATGAACACAACCAATCAGAACATCCCACAATATCTCCCACTATATATAGTTGAATGTAATTCAAAATACCTCCTCTTTCTTTGCGGCACCCTTTGCTCATTTGCCATATATTTTTACTTTTTACATTGCCTCACCTTTGGCCCCTGTTGCCTTATTCCTCCTCACTGATATACATTGGTGTCTTTTGTGCAGTCATTACTATTTTCTGGTTACACTTTACCCTACCCCCTTCTTTAGGTTCTGTAGATACTTGCACATACACTCTCCACCTTTCTTTCCCATTAAGTCCCCCACTAATGTCGGTTTTGTCCCCCACCGTCAACCCCTTGCTTCCTCACTCCCTCCTATTCCTGTGGACCATGGTTCTGGAGTGCAACCATGCCAAACAAACTGCCACACATGCACAATTCCAGGTCGCAAGGTGTGGTGGCCCTTTTATTGGCAGTCATTGACATTTGCCGCCTTGTCCTAGATTCGCGACACTCGTTCTGACTGCATGAGGCTGCCGATTGGATGCTCTGTCATTAGCCAGGCACCCGGAGATCGCTTGAGGCATTCTTGATGGATCTTTGGGTAGCTTCCAGTACTAGAATTTTTCCCTGTGCCACTGTATTGAGATGACTGGTAGCTGCTACTAACTCACCTATTTGTTCCTGTATACTAATTTTCTTCAGGTATACTGCAGTGCTCCCTGCCTAATTGGTACTGCACCTTGCCAACTTGCCTGCCATATTTACCATTGCCTGGGTATACCCCTCCTGTACTAATTCTACCCTGGGTATACACATCTGCTCATATGCTGTCTGAAGTTATTCCACAGTGCCCTATTCCTGGAACTTCTTCCAGTGTGCACTCCATTTCTGGGAACCCAGTATTCTGAGGTAATAAGGAACCCCCTATTGATCAAATTAATTCAGAGAAATTCAACATAGTCCTTTAGTCTGTGACCCAGGCAATCCACTTAAATATGGCTAAGTCGGTGTGGATATTATGTCCACCAATATTTCTAATTCAATTTCCTCTGCTTTAATGGCTGTTCAATGTCCCCTACTTGTTGTAGTACTTACCTGGTCGACACACTGCTCCAGTTTTTCCCAGACGATGTTCTGCCTTTCGCAAATTCCAAGGCTTCAAAACCGCAGGTAGATGACTCTTTCCTGCCTAACCCCCAGGGTAAACCCTTCTTCGACCCTGATAAATAATATCATCCACGGTTGACAGGCTGGTTCCCCACAGAACATGTGGCCAAATATGTGCAAATCACTAAAGGCCACAAGGAACAAACTCAGGGCTAAGTGCCCAGGGCCCACTGTTCCTAAATCCATCTGTGTTCTCCCAGAGGTAGACCCCAAGATTGCCCAATTTCTAGGAAAAACTGTATGGAAAGCCAGAAAGAGCCTAAAATGCAATTGCCAAGATAAGTTCTTAGATATTCTTGGCCCTAGTACTAAAATATTTGAGATGGTAGAGTCTTTTCTCACTGAGGGCACTTCCATACACCAAAGGAGAAGTAGCTAATAACCCCTGTGTCGGAAATATCCCAAACAAGGGTGGTCAGTGTAAATGGTACCCACCACTCTGCGCATGAACCCTAAAACAGTTACATAAAAAGAAAAAAGGAAAATATCCTTGGAGAGATCCCTCTTGGGGTACAAAGTAATAAGCTGGCTGATGGAGGTAAATACAACATATAACAATTAACGAGGAAGTGGATACTATATGATGACTGGTAGGTCAGTAAAATGTCAAATAGGTAAACCACCAGGCTATATTTTCCTTGCCTGAAATGTATTTGAATAAAAGGGAATCATGACATGTCACACATGTCATGTGTCCTTAAGGGGTTAAAATGTGAGTGTAATAGTGCTCACTTTTTTTGCACAGTTTATTAGAAATATACAGTCTTTCATTATTTTTTTTTCTTGTATATATGTCAAGGTACTGCCATGGTAAATACCAAAGGGTAAGTTGTTATAATGTAGCACTGCACATCCAGTGAGTACATATTTTTTCTGTTAGATTTTTTTTTAACATTATTTTTGGTAGTGCAATAGAAGAGATACGAGTTGGTATTGACATATGGTATTGACTTGCACAATGATAAGAAGCAGATATATAAATATATAACAGGATAACACAGGCTAAATAAACCTAAGACAATAGACTTAAGCTAGGAAACTAAATTAACAATTATCTTGACTAGGTGCTTAAGCTGAGCTAAACCTTTTATAGAGGTAAACTACAAATTACATAACAAAGACATGGAGATGATAAGGTTAAAACACCCAAGAAACACCCTGAATATTCCACTTTTAATTTACACAGGCACAATATGTCTTACATTAGCTATTCAAAAAATAACATTATAAGCAAAAAGCATGCAATATGTAGTAGCTCTAATCATGTTTAGCATTCATAGTTCGGTAGTGTAAAAACTCCAGAGGGGGATCAACGCCAGCCGGTGAAAATTCCATGCCCAATTCAGCTGAAGCCGCTCTGTGGCTCCACAGAGTGCTGGTGAGGAGGACAGTCATCAGACACAGGGGCTCAGATATAGGCCATGAGAGCGTGCATACAAATAGGCCCAGCCTCAACATCAAAGGCCCCTTCTGTCGGCTAGTCCCTCGAGTTAGCGTAATGCAGGTCCATCATTAAAGCAGTGATGAAGGTGAGGTGCGCCTGACTTCGGGTTTTGTGCAGCAATCCGGGCATCTCCGGCACCTTTGGGATTACCGCTGGTGTGGAGTCAAGTTTAGTCGCTGAGGGGGTAGCGAGATGACTGATGCTGAGGTGTCAGGATCACACATTGTGCTCACTACCCCGTACATTTCTTCAGCTTCAATGCATGCCTCCCACTGGGGTGCTAAGTCCCAGTAACCTCTCAGGTGTGGACAGAGATCTTCCCTGCCCGTCCAAAGGGGGGGACGAGGCTCTGTGCTAGAGGTTATCGCTTCTGAGCATCTTCCGCCCGGCAGGAACTTCTCCACATCTGACATGGTGGGGTAATGAAGCTGCCAGTGCAGTGATGATCGGAGTATGGTATGCCTGATGAGTTGGGAAATTAAAGGCTGCACTCAAAAAATCACTCTTTTGCCTTCACGTTATCAGACCAAGTGAGGGCAATAAGAGTGATTTTCACAATGCGTCCTTTCACCACAACAATCAGCCCCCCCCTTCTGTTATATTATATTGATACCGGAGAAACTGACGGAAGCAAAGCACAGAGGGATGGACACAGGTTTCTTCAGGAAGGAAGAGATTCTTTATTGGATCACCGATCGGGACTCAGAGGGACTAATGTCACCAAAAATACAGCAAGTTCTGAGCCCTGAACAATAGTGCAGGCTCCCTATATAGGCACATAACTCCTCCCATATTAAGCTCCACCCGCACATTCTCTTGACCAATCATTACAAATAAGAATTAACTTCCTGCTTGACCGCATGGCTTGTCCAGCACAATGGAGGAGGGGAATACTACATCCTGTATTCTTGCACATGCTCCGTACACTACTGATCGTATCTTGCCTCGTGCAACCAACTGATCGATACGTCAGCATATGCACGTACACATGCCACGTGGTAATCTCGGCCTACTAAATTTATTTTTACCGAGATTCCACCACAATATTATTGATTGTGTGATTTAAGGAGTATCCACAGAGTGTTATAGTTGCCATTTAACAAAATAGGTAATTAAAGGATCACTATAGTGTCAGGAAAACAAACTCTTTTTCCTGACACTATAGCATTCTTAGGACCCCTCAGGGCCCCCCTCCCGTGGCGCTGGAAGGGTTAAAACTCCTTAAGTTACTTACATTATTCCAGTGCCGAGCTCCCTCGGTGCTGGTGACCTCTCCTCCCTGCCAATGTCAGCTCCCGAGAGGAGCAGAATGCGCATGCGCGGCAAGACCCGCGCGTGCGTTCAAACAGTCCATAGGAAAGCATTTCTCAATGCTTTCCTATTGACGTTATGCACACTGGATGAGAATTTCGCATCCAGCATCGCAGAAGCGCCTCTTGCGGCTTTCAGGAAGACAGCCACTAGAGATTGGATTAACCCTGCAATGTAAACATAGCAGTTTCTCTGAAACTGCTATGTTTACATCTGAAGGGTTAAAACCTGGGGGACCTGGCACCCAGACCACTTCATTGAGCTGAAGTGGTCTGGGTGACTATATATTCACTTTACAAAGTGCCTTTATGTTCACACTATGTTCACTACAATGATTTGTATATTTTTTAGAATACCTTGTATTCATGTATTTGACGTTTGATATTGCTACTCGATCCTTCACCTCTACAGGATCTCCAGATGCATCAAAACCTCAATTAAATTGGTTTCTGTGATGAAAGTAACCTCGTCACTGGCTTTTGGAGGGGCCTGTTTTCCAGCCACCTACCCTGTGATTATGGCCCTGTGACAAACTGAACCTCGTCAAGGGTTCTTGGAGGGTCCTGCTGGCCAGCCTATTGCCTCAGGACTATGAGCCCTACAATACACCTTGCCCAATGCACTTTAAAAGGCTCTGTTCATGTGAAGTATGTACTTTTGTACTCCAGACAGAGAGACCGACTGTTATCCCTAATTCTCTGGAACTGTTTTGGGCATGGGACCATGTGCACGGTGGGTCAAAAATAAGATTTCCAGGAATTTCCTGAACCCCTGCTCTGATCTGGTTGATTTTTGGATATGTTGTTCACCCAGACCAGGGCTGTTGGGGGATGTAAGATGGGGATGTGTTGTGTTTTGGGGTACTTTTGCGGTTTTGGAAAATATGTGGGTTTTATGCTTGGAGATAATTACGTTAATACATTATCTACCTTAATGACATCACAGGCAGAGGGAGGGATTGTGTGCTGTATGTGGGAGTGTCAGGCATTGTTACATTGTTTCTATTGGTCTGTACAATTTGTGTCCTGTGCCCCATCAGGTCCAGTGGGTGTTCCTCTGGCCTGAAAAGTTGTATAAAAATCCAACCTGTACCATTAAACCCTCAGATCATCTTGCACCTTCATGAAGTTTCGGCTCATGTTTGGGGGATTGGAGAACTACACTCTGGGGATTGCTATGATCACTATACTCCCCTGAGTATAATCACTAAGATCTTGTAAGAGCTGTTCCTGCTTGTCTCTCTGGAGCGAGACAGTTTCACCAACTGGAACCTGGAGCCTTGTCGTAGGTCCAGGGTGGATAGGAGGACGGCGAGACCCCAACCAAGCTGCTGGTTATGGTGCTCCAGCGCAGTGCTTATGGCACTCGGCAGTACTAGGAAGCAGCGATTGACGGAGGTACCCGGTCGGGGTGCAGTCGGTCCGTCACAGTTTTCCGACTGTCCTTCTGATAAAGTAATACGATATAAGAGCAGTGTCCACTGTGTTCTCTTAAAGTAGTTGAGGTTTTGCCAATGTAGATGAGGCCACAGGGGCGGATGATTTTTTTCCTGGAAGAGTGATGATAGAAGGACTTACCTTGTGTCATGTGGCCACAGGTGATACAGCCCAAGCATCTACAGCAGCCTGCATCTGAATTGGACTTTTGTTGTATGAAAAACTAATCCATGTGTGCTAGCATGTCACGTAGATTGGCATTTCTCTTGTTGCTCATTAGTGGTAGATTGTGGAATGGCTCTGTTAGATTGGTGTTTCTGGCAAACATTAACCACTGTTTGTGAGTCACTTGTTTCAAACGAGGGGATTCGGTGGACACAAGCCACACGTATTGGTTTAGAGACGAGGAGACTAGTTGAGAGTCTGCATCTTGTTTCTAGCTCTAGTTAGGGCATGATCTAAAGTTTGTGGCTTCTATTCTCTTTCCAGGAAGCGTTGTCACATATTTATGTGTATAAATATAAATATATATATATATATATATATATAAAGACACCCATACCTATGGATTTTTTTAACATATGCAGAACCAGCATTGCATTTTGCCTGTGAATTTTGTAAGCCTAATTTATTCTTCTGAACTGATATTCCCACTTTTCTGTTCTGCTAGATCCCCCAAGTGCAGAAATGTCTCTTATGTGTGCCTTATGGGAACTAGCTACTTTAGTTTTTTTCAGTTTTTTTGGCAGCTGAGTAGGCCACCATTTTAAATAGCAACTCAATGTCACTAATATTTAATATGAGTAATAGAGAGACCAGGGTGCTCTTCGTTGCTACATAAGATATTGCTGAATGTTTGTTTTTTAGGGCTGTATTTGTGGAATTAGGAGGAATGGGGACAGGGACCAGATTCACATCCAAGCATCCTCCTCACTCATGCCAACAGAAGGCAAGCAGACATGGAGTTCCCAGTGGCTACTAAAAAGTCCAGTGACAATAGGGTTATTTTTTGAAAAATAATTTTTTAAAGGGAGATGTTGTATTGTATACAGCTCTGGGGCTGGGTGTAGTGTCTGCACTTACATGCAAACTACTCTGTAATTCAGGATCACTGTGACCGATACACTTAGTTAGACCCATTTATCTTCTTTTTTTTGTTGTTTTGTTTTCTAAGTTGGTGGGCTAATATATTTAACCTTCAGTGAATGAATTGGAGCCCTTAAAAACTCAATTGACCTTTTGGTCACTAAGTTATAGAGTGACCAAGGAGTTAATAGTGTTTATGAGGAGAGGAGCACATAGGGAGAGACAACAGAGAAAGAGGGGCAGACCAAAATCTACACTCCAAGCTTCCATACTCACAGACAATCACTATGAATAAACACATAAACTGTAGGCAACATGTGGTCTGTCTCTAAGAACGATCACATGGGAGAAAATGCCAGTAAATGACAGATAGTGACAGCTCCAGTCCCAGAACTGTCAGTAGCAGCGTTTACCGTGAGATCATAGTCTGCATGTTTGAATGTCACAATTACCAAACAATTACATGTGGGACTGTCACTCATAATCTAGGTACAGTTTGGGGTGACTGATCTTGCATATCAGTTGTCGTGAAGTGGTTAACATAATAAAGATATAAATAAACAAATATAATTAAATATTTTCCGTTTGTCAATCAAAGCCATTGAGTCCACATCTTAAAGTCATGAAAAAGGCTTCCAAACTAGGGAACCCTAAAAGAGAGTGGACAGAAGTACATCCAATCAAGCAATAACAGTGCAGTATCTATATACTTCTAATAAAGTAAAAATATTAAAGCACCTAAAGTATATTCAGATAGGAAATTGTGTTCCATAAGCACAACATGTGTTTAACCGACACTTCTAGATAATAATAATGTACGTGTGGGGTTTCCATAATGTGCTAGATAAATCTGTTTGTGTTACTTTGCTGTAGATACACAGAAGATTGGGCATGCCCAAAGCCCATTTTAATTTATTTTGACATTTATAATACAGTGCCTTCCTTGCTCGTGTATTTTATCCCAGAGACCTAGGAAATCCCTGGTCATGTCTATGTATGTCATTTTTTGGTTATATATACTTGAGCCAGAGTCTGTAACCCATTGTTATATCTATTAACTGTATTTTGTAACACTAAGGAATCAAACAAGTGGATCTTGATGGATCTTTTACCTTTCACCCCCTTATCCATCATACTGATAGGGAGGATAATATTTGAAGAGCTACAGTGATACTCTGATGAACCCATTTGGTCAAATGTGTATTCCAATTGCTGCATTATTCCTGTCTTTAGGTTTGGTGGTACTCCCCCTTGCTGTTTAGCATTAAAAAAAAACATAAAAAAAAAAATATGCTTTACTTTCCTTTTTCCAGCACAAAAGCTCTTTTGGCATTACTTACCTCTGCTCCTCTCACTGCATCATTAGGGAGGCATGGCTTCCTCCAGAATGGGTCCAATCCAATGCTCCTAGTAGAGAAACAAAGGTGGACCCAATGCAGCACAGCACACATTACATTTTCCACACACCAAATTTCCCCTGTGGGGGCTGCAGTCACGTATTAAGCTATGTGCAGTTTATTCTTTTTATTATAGATTTTGAAAGCACTTTTTTGGATTTTGTCCCCTGATTGTCTCAGGTTATATTACCCTATTTGTATAAGTGATTGTATA